AATCTACCAAATCTGTTTGCAAAAGGAGGGAGATGAAAAGAGGTTAAGGGTATATAATACAGGAGGTGGAAATGTTCAAGATATACTATATGTGCATCTAAGGAATTATCATAATGAAACCCTAATACAAATAAAAATTGGGGAAAATGAGTATTTAGCCTTACTGCTCTGAAAGCTAAATTAGGTAACAGTTTCACAGATTGAGAGTATGTGATACCATTCTGATTATTGTTATAATCATTCTGAAGCTAAAACATTATTTCTGGCAAATATTGACATTTATTTGAATACAGAAAAACTTCTGACATTTCACATATTTTTTGTTTAGGATGAATCATGAAAAATACAACATGGTTTTAATACTATATGTATGTTTATGCTCATTTATGGAGAAAAATTATATATTTATCCTCTTTCTCTATATTAATATGCAATTGGTAGCTCTACATGCATTTTTCTATAGAATACAAGATAGCTCATTGGACTGAACTGATAATTTAATTGATTGCAAAAAAGAAGAAATAGTAACCAAGCTTTTCAATGCTAACCAGAAGTCTTTTGTCTGTTCCTTTTTTATGTATTTTTTTAGATTTCTATATTATCAACTATTGTTTCTGTACATTTCATATTTTCATTTCCTGTTTTATGTGTACACCATGGACACTTTTGTGGGTCGTAAAGAATTTGAACATTTGAGATTAGTTTAATAATTTTTAACTGACTTTACTATTTAGTACTTGATATTTGATTCGATTTCATGTAACTAGTACCGAAACTACAAGAAAAGTATTAATTTGTTTCTAACTACAAGGCATTAATTAACCATGAAATTATTTTTATTTCAATCTGATTTTTGAGTTAAAATTATATGTACATTATAGAAAATAATTATCAATATTTCTGAGTTCTGTCCATAATATATGCAATATTACAAGTAGCACAATCTTTTGCCATAATTCACTAAAAATGCATGAATAAATAACCTATGCTTCCATGTCTAATTCCTTATGCCATGAGAAGGCACCATTGCTCTAATATAATGATTACTTTGATAAAAGAGCATTTAATCATTTCAATCTCAAATAGATTAAAGTGGACATTGAATTAGACACAGCATTGGTTGTCTAGTTTTTTTTTTCCCCTAAACTTTAGTATGTGTTTCTATATGTCATGGAAGTTAAATATATTTCCATGGGCTTTTCAACTTCTTGTATGCTATTGATTATTCACTATTCACATGATGTAGATATAAAGATGATGGCGACACCCAAGAACGTTTCAGTAAGTAAGTTGCCATTTACTTCTTTTTTAAAATATTTTTATTGTTAAGATACTCTACAGAGGGGTTACAGTTATATGGGTAAAGTAATGAGTACATTTCCTATCGAGCATTGTTACCCCCTCCTTTGTTTTTCCCCTACTCCCTTTCCTCCTCACCTTCCCAACTCTTCTCTGCCTCTCCCCCTCCCCACCCCAAATTGTAAAGTTCATTTTCCACATAGTGTCTTGTACATCCCTTTGTTACAATGGGTCAACCTGTAACCTTGTTTCAACATTTTGTTATTTTCCTTCCACTCCCCAAATTAGAAATAATATATATACAAGATGCAGGGCACCAGAATTAAGCTAAGATATGGAACCAACACAGATGCCAGACCCAAAGAAACATAGGTCCCATGGTTTCCCTTATTTGCAATAACTAGTATACATCTAGGATAGTCTTACCAGATGAAAAGAAAAGGTCAAAAGCTATGTACATATGACCGCATAAGATGATGCTAAGCAAAATGAACCCCAAGATATGGACACAAGAGGTTTTTTCTCTGTTGCTGTTGTTTTTAATGTATTATGTGATTTGTTTGCTGCTTTTGTATGTTCTTCCCCCATGGTATAACCCTGTTGTCACTGTATTTGATTCTGGTGCCCTGCATCTTGTCACTTACTTCTTATGTTTCTTTCCATTTTTAGATCATTTTAAAACATTTTTAACTCTGTTAAATTTCTGTATTTTGACACGTATAATAGATATGTTAAGCTAGCTCTTGAATACTTGTTCCATGTATTTTTTAAATTACAAATGTTTCTCAAATAATTTTAACCACTATATATACAACTATATAAATTTATTCTTATAGTTATATATAATTTTTTCTTTGTAGGCCAGTAAATCACTTAAAACTTTATTAATTTTTTACTTACAGAGTGATTTTAAATGACTAAAGGCCTAAACTATTTTAGCTAAACAGACACGACTTTTTTTTTCTTTAAGAGAGATTGTATGTTTTTGTACATCAAATTTGGAAACCAGTGTATTTTAGATAATTTTAAAAATGACAGATGACCAGTGCATCAGTCCTGTTTTGCCTCTCCTTCTTGTCACACACTGGTGGATATTTCTCCACTTTTGTTCCACTTTAATATAAAGCACACAGATGTTTCAGAACAAGTCTTGACTTCTGACCTTGAGGCTATTAGGGTCAGGGTCCTCAGGGCCTGTGAAATCATCACTAGCTGAGCTAAAGTTTTTCTCCATCACAGGAAGTAACCAGTAAGTAAGAAGTTAAAAAGGAGCTTTGTCAGAGAGACAAGATGGTCTCAGTAAGGGTCAGCTTCTGTAGTCTGCTGTCTCTGCAGGAGGCACATGCATGGGAGGAGGAATATAATATAACCACTGGCACATCACATACCTGTCAGGCAACACTCGGGCTGAGAAGTCTATTTAATGTAATATACCTTGTTTAGCTTTTAAAAAAATATTAATGGTGATTATCTCAACTTCATATAGTTGAAGGCATAGACTGCAGTATGTAATGCAGGAATATAGCAGTGGCAAACCGAAAAAAAAAATGATGTTGACTTAATAGACTCCCCAAAACATTACCAGTGTGCTAGGATGAGTTTTGCATTTACAAATGTAGATTCATATATTTAACTTCATTATGTTTCTGATGATTTCTCAATTATTTCTTAATGCATCATTGTAAAAGGAAAACAAAGGCTCAAATTTTTCAAACCTTTTATTTTTGCCTAAATAATATTCTTTCCTATTTCTACTAATATTCTCAAGAGAAAAGTTACAGTGTTTAAAATGTTGACACATACTCGTTCTTGATGTATTTCAGTGTAAGTGTGACATATGAAATTATTTTACATGGTTTCAAAATTTTCATATTAGCTGTACAAGGAAGTAAATATAAATATTATTTTATTATTCTTAAATTATGTGTGGTTTTAGTGCAGTAGTCCATTATGCACATCATACATTAAAACTCCTAGATTTCAGTAAAGCTAAATTTTTTAAGCATGTTACTCTTAATGAAATACTCTACACAACTCTTTTGCTTTCTTCTTACATTTGCTTTCTTCTTGTAGCGTTATGCTTGAATTCATGGAAATCACTTTTATATCATTGTATCATTGTCATATAAGTTTACATTCTTTGGGTCATGAATATCAATAAAATTTATTTTAAATACAAGCTGTGGCAAGTAAAGTTTCACCAATAAACACACATACAGTGCTTCTTGTTTGAATAGCAGGTACCAGTGAGAACCTGTGTCTTGCCATTTACTAAATTAAAACTATATAGAATTGTAGTTTAAAATTAAATAGTTTACTATTGGATATCTGGAGATGAGTTCATTTTCAATTTAGGACACATTGTGTGGAGGTTTCATGTTTTGTTAACTGTTTTTTTTTAAACTAAGCACATAATTTATGATTATATACTGTCTTAAAGAATAAGTGATATTTTTAATTTTCATTTTTCCTTATGAATGTATATTTGAAATAAATCAGTAAACAACTCAAACAACTTACTAAAATACAATAAGGTTAATTAATATCACCTGAAATATAGCCCTCAGACATTTTCACTGTTAGCATTTCTGGA